ATATATATATGAATGTCTGTGAGCATATGTAATGGTGAGATGATAATAATGGATACTTGTGTAGAATTATATATAATTTCTACAACATATGTAATGTAGAGCCCTTAGAAGATGATTGTATCAAGACCCTTAGACTCAGCTTCACAGCAAGAAGTGGATCGAATGGAACACGAGGTGGGTTTTAACAATTTGCTTCAGTGGCAAACCATCCTTCCTTAAAATGTACAATGAGCATTTTCTCAAATTTTTAAATATACGTATGGCTTCAAAGTAGCCCCTCGCTCCGCCTTTACCCACATCATGGCTTCTCCTTTGCAGAAATCCTACCTCTGCACTTCTGTTATTTGTGCTATTTGTTTTATTTCAGTGTATTGCAGACATGGCCCACGCATTGCCTTTCATCAGGTTCCAAGGTAAAACTATGCATTTAATTAGACGATGAGAAAATGAAATGCTGATGGCTTTTCTCTGGCAGAGATGCCCATTTTCCTTCCGCCTCCACTCTGTTCATGTTGCGGAGAGCACTTCCACGTCCTCCCATGATATTCTGCAGTCACAGCGAAAGCTGCCACTCCAGTCATATAACCACCCACCTTGGCTGAAATTCACTGCTCCAGGCCTGCGCACCTGACCCACGCTGCAGCGGTTACATCTAGCTGGTAATGGAGATTTACAGCCTACATAGGGATGCGGCATCTCTCCAGGTGTTTGAGCTGAGAAGATACTTTGGTGCAGCTAAAAGCATCATTTTGCTTCAAGTACAGAGAGATGAACAGCACAGGAGCTTAGAGCAGCTGAGCGGCCATGAACCCCAGAAAAGAAGTAGCCAGGGAGGAGACTCTCTTGTTCTGAGGCAGGGGATGTGGCAGAACAGCTGCAAGCAACGAAAGCTATAGAAACTGTCTGCCCTGGCCAGTGTGCTCAGTGGTTAGAGGGTTGGCCCTTGAAATAATGGGTTTCGAGTTCGAGTCCCAGTCAAGAGCACATACCTAGGTTGCAGGTTTAATCCTGGCCCTAGTTGGGGCACATGTGGGAGGCCACCAACTGATGTGTCTCGAATCGATTTCTCTCTCCACCTCCCCTTCCCTTCCACTCTCAAAAAAAAAAAAGAAAAAGAAAAAGAAAAATTATCCTTGGGTGAGGATTAAGAACAACAACAATAAAATAAAGCTACGGAAACTGTCAAGAGGATAGTAAGACCAACCCCCAACAGATTTATGGCTTAGAACCCACAGAGACCGGCTGGATTTCACTTTGCAGAACCCCTAGCCTCATTATAGCTCATTGTCATAAGTAAGCACAATAAACCACACACCCAGAGCCACCGTTGTTGGAAATGGAAAGCCAGCTAAGGATGAAAAATGGCCCACTGGGGCTCTTCGGAGAAGTCTCCACCCCTTTCCCAGAAAGATCCTGAATATTCCTCCCCCTTATTGAATGCCCCACCCCTTGAGTCAAGGAGCCTCAATCAAAGAAGTACATCCCCACAGGGAGGGGTGCTCTATCTGCTTTGTCTCTGTCTCACTGATTCACCAATAAACTCACTTTCATTTTCAACGCTCTGCTGTCTTGCTTTGAATTCTTTCCTGAACAAAGCCAAGAGCCCACAGTAGGTTTCAGGCCCTTTGGCTACTGGCATCATCTCCTTTTTGTGTAAATTATGTCTTTACATTTTTGTTTTAATCCCTTCTGAGTCCTGGCTGCATTCCCTGGTTTTGGTTTGTGAAAGAGACCACTCTGATAAACAATGCTTTTCCCTTGAGAGTTGCTAGATGAACTAAGCTTCCGCAGTTGCCTCTGCCGGTGACTGGCCGCTGCCCTTCCACATCTATCTCTCTTTAAGGAGAAGGTGCCTTTCTTTTGCTGAATTTCTGCTCCTGTGCATTTATGGGGTGAGAACTTTTAAATACATTAACTTCTTTAATAGCCACAATAACTCTGTTAGGTGCTGTTGGCATGTTACTTGTCATGAAAATAATGACTTATAGCTATAAAACAGTAAGTAATT